AATGACAGTCTTCTGAGCAGAAATGAGAAGTGCCACTTTCTTATTTCTACTCTTTCATAACACGTGTAGGATGACAGACCTGATCTGGTGCAGAGCCTGCAGTTTCTTGTCAGGCGGTTTCATTTTATTACAGCCTTTTTTGTGTGTTAAAACAGCCTTTAGCAAACCAACAGGAAATCACAGCTGAATTCTTTACAGCTATTAGTGGTTGTAATTATACAAGTGATCTCAAACTGGTTCACTGAGAGGCTTTTTATTTTTTCACAGCGAAACGCTGGATCAGAATCGGAGCCTGCTTCTGTGCAGCTGCACAAATAAATCAACAGAGGTGAGCTTTTGCTGTTTACAGTGCTGTGCAAAAGTTTTAAACCACCAGTGTTTCTTCATATTTTGCTTTGAATGAGACAAACGTTTCTTGCAGTATTTTAGCGTGGTCTTTATCAGTACTTATCTAGGCTCTCTGAAGGTCTTTTGGCTGTTTCACATTTTCAATCCAGCACTTGGACAGCAGCGTGCGCTTAAAAAATTGGGGAAAGTCAAGGACAAAACTGGGACTTTATATTGTTTCCTCCTGTCTTTAGGAAACAAAGCAGCAAAACCCTGACCCAGAACCTGAAAGATGCAACATCCTTAAGCTGATCGCTGAGAATCTCTCAGCAAACGGCTGAAATCCTGAAGAACTGTTGCTCAGGAGAGCACCAGCAGACAGAAACAGTTAAAAACAGCAGCAGGAAAGTAGTCGGTGTCTGTGATGGAGCTGTGGTGAAAGTTTTTCTGTTTGCCATTAAATAAGGATTCAAACGTTTAACAAACCTGTTTGGACTTGTCTTCAGAGCGCAGAGCTGAGAATGACTGACAGACGCACTGAAAAAATGAATTATTCATGCAAACAGAGACACGGCGTGTAAAGTGGCAGCAATCTTCCCAGAGGTTAAAGGTCGATTTGTGAACTTGATTATTAGTGGAGATGCCTATAAGGTTACAATCAGAGATATAATAATAAAAATTGTTATTTACTCAGTAAGAGGTGAACACCAATCCATAATTTTAGTTCCTATGAATACCTGTGTGCACAAACTTGTGCAACTGAGTTGTTTTTATCTTGCATTCAATTTTTACTTACACAGATTGAGTGTGAGCAGAGAACGTCCTGTTTACAAGTAAATATTTTGTCACAACAACCACGCTCCTTGCGCAACTAATGACTGAGAAAAATGTTCCAGAGAATAGTTTTCAAGTTAGAGAATCATTTATCTATTTTTAGAACAAAAGCGTGTGCTGCGTGGGTCCGAGAAGCATCGTTTAATCACAAACAGCAGTGGGAGAACGAGAAGAAAAACAACCTGCAGCCACAGAAATGACAACAGATCGATGGTTCTAGCTAACAGAAGAACAATCCACGTTTTGCTGGAGAGATCTTGAAATGTATTAACAAATATATATATATATAATAATTTTCTGTGAAGAAGTGTGAACGCTGAATGCCGAATGAAGAAGCTCAAGTTAATTTGTTTCAAAACAAAGAGGCAAAAACTAAAAGGTAAAAAAAAAATTGTCTGGCAAAAAGCTAAAAAGGACCAAAACAAAAGTTAAAAACTAAA